GAGAGAGAGAGAGGCGCGACGGTATCGCTGAAAAACCTCCTCTCGCATGCTCCAATCCACAGACAGCTGTGGTTCCGAGCCGGGACTAATTCACGGATCCGAGAGATTAATTGGCAGAGAATTAAAAGTGTGCCGCGCGCCATTGTGCTGTCAGCATCGATATTACGGGCGCGACGGAAGAAAGTGCTCTTTTTTTCCATGTTTTCTGGCATGATCGTTTTGAAAGAGAGTTGGCTTATGCATTCACGTTTGCGTAAACAATGTAACGGCCAAATATTTCTAAAACCACGCGAGATATTAAAAAAATTTTTTTGTATTCCCGCATTTCATATACTAAAATACTAAATATTGCTCTGTGATAGAACGGATTGCATTGCAATGCACGTACACGAAAGATTAATTAAGATGACATCCCTTATTTTTTTATTTTTATTAACTTTTTTTATGTTAATTAAAATAATAAATCTTTCTTTGACATCACTGCAGTATGTTGAGTAATTAACTTTTTTATATCGACATGTTGAATCTTATATGGACAAGAATCATATTTTGTTTATTACAAAATTGGATATTTAAACATCTGTTTTTGCGATTTAATGGATTTAATGGAGTTAAAATCAATTCTTTTTTAAGTAGAATATAAAAGTTTTCAAAAAATATCAAAAAGATTGCAAAAGTTATATTACAATTATATATACAATTTTATGTATATTTGTTATGTATATTTTATATATACAATTTTATTACAATTATATATTTACATTATTAAAATTTTATTCTTAAATTTTAAAAAGATTTCTTTATATACGACATAGACATCGACATAGACTCTATGTGCCTTATATGGGCATTATTGCAAATAATAAGAATACGTATAACTAGACAAGTAGCATGACATTCAAAGAAATAATGCCATTTCGCATTTTCTTATATAATATGATTAGCGAATATATCATCGCATGTTGATCGTTATAATGCAACAACTTTGATAATCAACTACAACTATTTGATCGTCTTTTTCACTTCAATTTTTCTTTCGTTACAATTCTCACTCTTCGATACCGTGGAATGTCAGATGTACGTATTTCCGATTGTTTAATCGCGCAGTGAATTGTATGACTGTAAGATTTCAACTAGATTTCAACTACCGAATGTTCCGCATCGCCGATATGATGTTCAGTTGGATAAACGATTCGAATGCTCGGCAGAAGGAAGCGACGCGGGAGAAAAGTTGTGAAAACGATCGTCCCGCACGGCGCATACTGTTCATGACCGGTCCGAGGAAACTTTGATCGTTCGGGACAAAGCAAATTCCAAAAAGGAGGTAAACAAGAAGAAAAGAACGGAGGGGGGAGGCAGGGGGGGAGCAGGAGTAGAGCCCGTGTCTAGAAGAAAAATAGAGAAATACTTGTACGCAAGAACGAACGTGACCCCACCCTCTGGGACGTTTCCGAACTTAGGCAATAAGACGACAGTCAGTTGCAGAAGCTCGTGGATAGTTTTTGAAAGTTGCTACAGCCGTATTCCAGCTTCTACATTTCAGTGATAATCCGTTGCTATTTATTAACCTAGTCTCTTGATTCGCGTTCGTTCCGTTTCTTTCCTCTCCTCCATCTTTGCCTGAAGGGTAACTGACAGAGAGATTCATATGTTAAATTTTTATAAATTTAAAGTATTACTGCCCTCCTTTTCTCAAATTTTAAACACACATTAAAAATAATAAGCGAATAAATAAAATTATAAATATTATAAATTTATAAATCTTCAAATATCCACAGTGTTCAAAATTATATGACATTTTGCAAGAGCCTTAAGCTCTTGATAATTATTTTATAAATTTCTATTATATTATATCTCATCCTATTGGCAAGCAATTTTGCAAAAGTGCTTGTTTCATCAATAGATCGTTTAATTTATATATGTTAATAAATATTCATGAAGCTGTGTCGTGTGGATACGAGCGGGGCAAAATTCTTTTATTCCTCGTCGGACTAAGGTCCTTTTGTTGTTCCCTATTTTTCACCCGCGGCGTAATTTTTATACGGTCATTATCGCCATTGAGGGAGGCACGTGCAGACGCACCATTCAACGCTGGAAAAGAGTACGCAGAGGTAAAAGGGTCGGTGAAATAAGAGAGGCATAACGCGACGTCTGACGCGCGGACTAAAATAAAGCACCGCTATTTCGAATAATTACAACTTATTTTTTTACAGGACACTCCTCTCTGTTGAACACCGATTTCGCCCTTTGCGTACTCGTTCCACCGCTACAACGTTTCAAATCTATAGGCAGTTCTGCTGCCAAACTTGCGTATCGATGCAACTGAAACTAGAAAACTGCACCGATGCGAAAGAGATGAAATATCGAAAAAAGTATCGGGACATTGCTATCCGAGAACGTTTTTCACGATACGTGTGCCGTACGCGCCTATTTTCCATTGTATACGAACTTTCTGCTCCGACTTTCTGTGTCACAATAATGATGTAAGCTTTTATGCAGTATGGAAATTTCTCTACAATACATATTTCTAAAGTAGCTTCTGCGATTGCTCAATCAATTTTACTTTTCGATATTCACAGATAATTTTTTTATCTCTATTTTTATCTCTGAACGTTATCATCGTAAAAGTATCATTCGTACCAAAAGAGTGGACGTTGTAGTAAATTAAATCGGAGAAGTGTGTTACTCCGGGGAAATAAAAGCAGGTAAACTCACTACGCAAGTTGCGCCGGTGCCCTCGGTTTTCTCGCAGATCCGTTTACGACGGGAAAGAATGACAAAGGAAAAGCGGGGCGGATAAGCAGAGGAGAGCGCAGCTAGTTTGAAATTTCAAATTCATTTACGGTCCCGTTGCCGAGTTTTAATCCGCTTTAATTATGAAAAATCGTCGAGTGCTGCCGACCTACCTACCGACCATCCTTTCGTCTTTTCTGCTTCCAGGCATTCCTTTACGTCACTTTATCGTCGAAACGAAGATCGTCAGTCTCTCTTAACGGATATATTTTTTCTTTTCCCCACGCGATATCTCATTACTGTAATTAATTCGTACATGGTTACAGTATACGAGTAGATTGCACATGAAATGGAAAAATATATAAAATTATTATAATTAGACATATCTAAAATTTCTTCTCTCGAGATTGCCTTAAGATTAATGATATAGAGCTGAATTTCCTTATATAACAATCTAAAACAATGAAAATGTTTCATCTCTATTTTACCAAGATGCTCCATTTTCTTTCATATATTTCTCTTGTTTATTGTTATATTCAATTATTATCCTGAGATTACAGAAATATATAAAATAACACATTTATTTGTTCCGATAAATAAATTGATACAAATAATAGTATTGATATAGAATAACTCGTTTTATTTTTATAATAGTTTTATTACATTCGGAAAATTTACAAAATGAAATTATATTTGCGGACTTTACTCTTTACTTATTTCAAAATATCCATCATGATCGCGAGTGGTGCAATTATAATTAAAAGAATTAAAAGAAACCTTTGAGAAAGTAAACTTATATGACACTGCGAGGATATGTAATTTTATTTTCCAACAACAATATTACATTAAGACATGCATTATCAGAAATATAATCAAGATGTAATTTAGAGTCAAAAACGTTCCTACAAAGAAATATCTTTCTAGCTTTCTGAAAATTATATTTACAACTGTAGATTCATAAAACAACATTCCAAAATTACATTATAGATTATAGCTATTTTAATTTAATAAACATTTTAATTGAAATTGAATTGTTGGCATAATCTATAATAAAAATGAAATGCCACTTAACGATTATTAAATTAATTTTCTATGTCGGTTTTCAAACGACGAAGCGATGAAGAATATCCATATATATATTCGATAAATCCGTGTCAGAAATCTGGTATCTCAAAAATAGAAAAACACAAGTTAAAATGTAAAATAGAGATGTATCTTCGTAGATGTTTTATATATTGGAGGCAAGACATGATGCATCGTTTACAGCACCGTCCACTTTGCACGTCTTCTTTGGTCTGTTCAACTTCTTTAGTTCGATGTCCATCGATCTTCTCCTCGACTTTCCTCGCGCAAGTACTTTGCGCCAGTCGAACGTGCGTTCGAAAGGCGTGCTCTTTAATTTAGCCAGAGCCTCGGCTTGCACTTCCAGAAAATTGTATATAATTTCTTCTTCAGCATCGGCAAAAACGCCCTTTTCACGGAAAGAGTAATTAGTATCTAATGTTTTTAATATACTTGCAATAAAAATAAATATTTTAATACATAAAATACTTATGTAAGAAATAAAATTCTAGTAACAGACACATTATCAAAATTTATTTTAGTAATCATATCTGAGAGACTAAAATCTTTACTTTTATGATATTGTTGTTGTTTATTTGAAATAAATAAGATATTTAAACAAGACCTTGGAAAAAGTTTATTATTTTATATATGTTTTAAAATATTTCTATGATACGTTTAATTATTTATTTGTATAATTGTCTTTTCGCAAATCATAATATTTTATTCAAGCGCGTGTTATCATTTATGAAGCGTACTTCCAATTATTTGCTAAGGATTGTTGTAAGATTAATTGATTTCCTTGACATACTTCTTTCCGTAAAGCGATTTCCCCCTTAATGAACTCGTCGATCGTTAAGCGTCTGTCGACCGCAGAGACTGGCAAAGGTGGTAACAAAGTTTCTCTACGCTCCTGATATTGCTCCGGAAAGAGGAACACGATGGTTTCCTCAAAGATCTTGTCCTGCAGATTCAGAATCTCCCGTATCTTGCGCTTCTTTGTCCTCGCCTCTTGCCGCAACCTAAGAACCGGTGCACGTTGCCTCTCGATGACATCTTTTCTCAGCCCTTTTTTCTCCAGGATCAATCGTTGCATGCGCTTTACTTCCATTGACATCCACCGTTTCTTGGCTTCCTCGAGGAACTGCCAGGGTTTCCGACGCTGTGAATGGTACAAAATTAATTTAGCGGAGAAAGAGAGAGAGAGAGAGAGAGACTCGGTTTCCCTTCCTCGTCCGTGATCGGCCTAAATGAACTGAAATGGCACCGGCAATTCACGAGGCATTATTATTATAGACTTTATAAACGGCTCGATTCGGGTGCCGCGGTTATCCACATGGTGTGAATTGCCGGCCAAAGCGTGCTATGAATAGAATGTATGAATAGAAAATCATTGAATTATTTATCAATGTGAAATACTAGGCTGATCTTACCGTGGGCTTTGTAGGTGTAATCGCGCGAGCCGCTGCTTCAATCGTGTCGGCTTTAATCTTCTCCTTGACTTCCAAGCGCTCTTTCTTCATTTTTTCGAGCCTTTTCTTCATCTCGATAACCGCGAGATTTGTTTCGCGCCACACTTTCTGCCAGACTTGAAACTCGCTTATCTGATCATACACGGAAATAGACAATCGTATACGACTAGAACGAATAAAATTTTTCTTTTTATTACTATTAGCAGTAAAATTATTATGGAAGTAACAGTAAAGAGAAAGATCTTTTTTTTATTAACACGATTCCCATTCGAAATTCGACATACTTTCGTCTTACAGAGACATAAAATTTTATGAAGTGAACATGGAGATTCATGGGCTATTTGAAACAATATTAAATATGTTGACAGCTATTACGTATATATTGCTAATAAATGAAAATTTGGTTAATAACTTTTCAAATAGATTTTGCTAAGGAATACTTCAATTATATAATTATCATTATTGTCTTTACTGTTTTTAACATAGTGCAATTTTCTTCTTTATTATCCAACGGAGACGTATTTGTTTTTAAAAATCTAAATTAACATCGCTTTCTTATATCCCTTCTTACTCTTTGAACTTGTCGATCGATGAATTTTTTCAGCCATTCGACGTCGCTTACGTCATACGTCAGCAAGACACGCGGCGCCGTAAATATTCTTAAAGACCCGTTGAAGTCGCAAAATCCAATACACTGCGGTTCCAAGGGTAACTCATGCGTGTAAATGCCTGTAATTATCCGTCCGGACAGACTTTGCACGAAACTAGGTTCATGGCTTTTGACTATAAGATCCCAAATTTCTACGGTTCCATCCATTCGTCCCAAAATCAGAAAAGTCGGACGCAAAATACCCCACGAGCATGCCGTATATCTGTATTTAATAAAACAAGTGACAACAAAAGTGTGTGTGTGTGTGTGTGTGTGTAATGCTGGTCGGCACGTTGACACGTACTATCCAATGATTTCTTTTTTTGTTCCTTTTATATTTAATTAATAGATCGCGTCTTTTATGTAACTACGTGTTGTTAACTACGTGACAACAAACTAATTAGTAAATTTTACAAGATTAAATTAAAGTGGACAACTAGTTCACATTATTTGTGCCGTCTCTTACGAATCGAAGAAAATAATACAGAGAGTAGTTAATCAGAGACATAATGAACTGTCTGATCGAGCGTTTGAATCGCGAGAGTATCAGCTTGACAACGTTCGATAATGACTGTGTGTCGCGGCGGGACGACCGTACATCGAAAATAGCTTTCATTAACGGAACGGTAACAATACGCGATATAGCGCTGTAACTGTAAGTTATCACCGTATTGTCATGCAGATCATACCGAAAGTTCGAAGCTCTCGCCGTCCGAAAACTATGCGCGGCGCGTGAAATGCGAGCGAGCGGACGAGCATCGGAGCGCTTGTGTCGGGCAATACGAAATGTTATCGTCGTAGTGCTTACATACCGTACATTGCGACAATTTATCGCGCGGGCTCGCTCGTTATTTTTATTGCGAATGAAAACGCGAACGCGCGCGCCGCGTGTATGGGGCCGCGTTTATGTATATATTCATGACCATGTTTCGTTAACTCTCGCGATATTGACGCGGTATTTCTCCTCGAGGAGTAATTTCTCCGTGCGCAATTCCCCGCGATCTCTCCCGTCCGTGGTTATTTTAACGCGAGCGGCTTCGCTCCCCCTCCCTCCCCCTCCCTCCCTCCCCTTTCTCTCTTTCTTTTTTCATCTCCTCTTCCGGTTCTCTCTTCGTGCGCACGAAGGCGAGAATCACTTAGCGCCCGACGTTTACTTTGACGCGAAAGAGGAAGTTCAGTTTGCCTCTCGGTCAGACGATATCTCGCGCAAGTTTTTTCACCCACCTGACGTTGGATCTCTTCCAGACGAGCGGCTCGCCGAAATCATCCCTCCACAGGGCGAAGATCCTGCCGCCTATTGTGACCACCAGCCGGTGGTAATAATTCGATCTGATCGCGTGCGTAACCGGCCCGTCGTGTGCCCTCTTTATCCAGAGCCATCGTGCCGTTTCGCGATTCACGATCATGTCGGTAGCGAATTCGTAGCCAGTCCACGTTATGCAGCCAAAATCACCTGTTGCCGTCGTTTACGCTTTAATCTACTTCGCGCCGCTGATATTAAATTAGATCAGTCTTATTTAGGGAGATTTAAGTATAATTAATTGTGCTGATATTAAATTAATTAATTTTTAGTCTTTAGGGAGATTTAAGTGTAATTGTGCTTAATGATAATTTGAATTGCATTAACGAACTTGGGTATGATCGTATCGTGTCGCGATCTATAGATGTCAATGGTCGGAAATTGAATCGCTGCTGTATCTAAGAAAGTGTTATGTAGGTCATCTTACCTTCGACGGTCCCGATGAGCATCCTCGGCTCCATGACGTAGTCCTCCTTCTCGATTATGGGTCTGTAGTACTTTCTAATTGTGAGGTCGTCCCTTGCTACCGGGAACGGTTCGACTTGTTCCTTGTGAAACTTTGGATTGTACATGCTGAGAGTCGTTATCACGAGCTGCCGACTCTCGTCCGGATATTGAATCACGAGGATATAGTTGGGCTTAAAGACGCGATCGAGAACCTTGAAGGGCGACACGGATTGCTCCATGGATTTTTGAACGTCCGAATGGATCTTCTTCTTTCTGTTACGAATTTGTCGAATGTCCTTTTCCGAAGGCCGCCATCTTTAAAACCAACATTCTCAGCCTCAGGAATAAAATAATTACGTTTTTTTGTTATTAAAAACGTGATAATATTAAAGTGAAAATAGAAGATTATATAGCTAATTTTATATAACGTTTTCATCGATTTAAAATATTTTGTATAAAAATTGATTAACATTTGTATCTGTGACCTACTAAATTTAAATTTGTTGTAAAACTTTCGTCGAACTTTTGTTCGGATAAAAATTATTATTGTCGGCGTAATTCTGCGGCGTATGCTCCTCTCAATTGGTAGATGTATAGAGTGTGTTCTCGTAAATATCATACCGATTTCGTACCAAGTGAGGAAACAATTCAGTGATGTTGGAGCATCCACGTAGCCATTGTGGCATGGCTGAAATGAAGAGCGACTCTCTCTCGCACCCCACTGGGCGCGCACAGAGATCGACGAGGCTAAGGAGATTGGGAGTTAGCAGGTTCGAGGAAGACTACTCTGGACGGTAAGGAAGGGACGCGCGGGAAGGGTTAGGAGCGAGGACTGAATACCGATCAACGATTATAGAGGGATGGTCTATCCATTTTCGGACCATATAAACGCCAACTTCGGAGAATCGAGGAGCGACGGAGAGTCAAGTCGTAGGACCATTACGGTTCCGCAGACCGGGGGAGTTTCTCGAGAAGGATGAGAGCAGGAGATGGGGGAAGGAAGCGGAAGGGTGGTTCGTCGTCCCGCGTCCGGAGAGAAGGGCTCGAAAGGCAAGAGACGGAGCTCGCTCTTTAACGTTTAGCTTGCGACAAGTTTCGCGCCCGTGGAACATTCGAAGCCGCTAACTTTCAGTCTCGGGAGATACGACGGCTCTGGACCTTTCTCGTGGTTACCAATTGCTGATTCAGATCGACCGATGCCCACATCATCCACCGACTGTTTTGAGTTGTTCTTACATTATTAAAGAAATATTATAACGTCTTCACTGCATGACGATACTGGATATTACAGAAATGAAAGAAAAAGAAAGCCATCTTTCTTGACGACGTTGGAAATATTTCTTGAATATTCTACTTTTTATTTTTGCAAGTCGAAGAGCGTCGTAGCTCCTAAAATAATTTGTTCGTCGATTCGATGTGATTTCTCGAGAAACACATTTTTAGTTCCTTAATCGATAGAACTATTGCAGTATATTGCGACAAGAATATCAAGAATATCCTTCTATAAATTCTCTTAGGATCGTTAATAATAATTGTCATCAAACAATTGTTCAAAGTTGAGATTAATGAGAATATTAAAATAGTATAATAATAGTAATATATACTTTGTTTAATAGTTAAAAATAATATATATAATTTTTTATGTGCATAAAAACTTTAGCTTTTAAAAAAGTTTAAAATTTCTTTCTTAAATATTCCTCCTTAAATTCTCAAATAACTTTCTCTAAACATAACAATACAAGAAGCAGCAAGTCATTTGTGCTTGATTTTTATAAAGAGATAGACTATATTGATGTAAAATTTTTATACTTCCTAAACTATTTTTGCATTAAAAACTGATCTCTTTTTATCTCTTTGATTACACATTGCTTACAAGTATATCTCTTTTCGCCGGTAGAATTCTTAAGACTGATACAAAATTAAAAATGTACCTAAGACGTAGAAGTATCTGTTAAATAATAAGTGTATTAAGTCGATAGACAAAAAACGATCGTTACTTAAGATCCCAAAAGGCGACCGTGCCATCTTCGCTGGCGGTGGCGAACTGACAACTTAGATCGTCCAGGGGCGCGTCTTCCGGCAGGGATGAGATCAAGCCGTTTTTGTCGACCTTGTGATGCGAGGGCAGCCAGACTATTTGGGTGATGCCCGCCTTCTGGCTGTACTTCAGAGAGGACATCGCCGTCGGACTGATCAGCGACGTTGCCGTCGTCTCGTACATCCATGTCATCAGGCTCCTCATCGCGATGCTGTACTTCGTTTGGACGCCCGTCTGTGCCACCACCGTCTCCACCTGCTCGATTTTGCCGGGAATGTGCCATATGGCGATCTGATGGCAAGAGTACGGATAGATTTTATCGTCGTCCGTTTGTCCTCATCTCATTTCATTGTAGCATAGACTTTTGACGGTCGCGGCTTGTGATGAGATGTTTTCCCGAGTATGTTTTTGTATACTCTCCTTCTCATCTAAAATTTTCTGATTCAAACAACTCACAAATGACGTCAGGTAATTAAGAAAACTACGCATAACTTTCCATACAGACGAGGATTAATAAAAGGAATATGAAACAATAATAACACCAATAAATTTATTATCAAATAAAAATTAATATTTCTTGCACTATAAGTTGCTAACAAAGAATATCTCTTAACTCAAGTGATTAAATTTTCTATTATGTATCTGTTTTTAATCTTATTTTAATATTCTTATGAATATTTCTTAATAAAATGTTATTAAAAGATTTTCTGTTCTGTTAAGTGTTATACTTAATTACAAAATTAAAGCTTGAGTATAAATAAGAATTGAGAGTACTAAATTTAGATTATATTTTTAAATGTGAATTAAGAAGGGAGATATAGGTGTCAAAAAAATACAGATATTTTTTAAAATGTCGCTATTTGATGTCACAAGCTCGTATTTTTGTTTATTCTCTTTTTTTTATTTGCGTTTTTTTGTTTACTTTCCGGAATTAGCGCATTTCTCATTAATCTTCATAATCGGTTTATTGCTTCGAGTTTTCTAATATGTGCTTTTCATAATATTACTCGACCGACGAATGTCACGGATATCATCTGATATCCGGAACATCGTGGAATAACGAGAAGAGCAGCGAGAAATCGTCGCGATGGATTAATGGAGACAGGTGATCCCGCTTGCATATGATATTCTCGTTTCGTTCATTGTTCGCATTCGCCATGATTGCCGATGCGCGGCACTTTTCGAATTTTCACGTCCAAAACTGCTCCACGCAGTGACAAGTCGGAAGCACCGAGTGGATCTACGCGAGATCGCGATGTGTTTTTTGATATACGTGATTGATATCGATCGTGTTCCATCGGATTGCCATCCGTTGGAAGAATTTGTTTACGAATACGTGCGTGTCGCGTTATTCATTCGTGGGTATGACGTGTCAAGCGAATGCGAATGCGAATCGAGGTGCATCGGGGGGGGGGATCGCAGTTAACGGTTAATCAATATTGGTGAATTGCTGTTCGTCTACGGAAAATGAGGAAAATATTCATATGCACTTTGGCCTCTGAATTATTCGCCGATTTTTTTTATTTTCTTAATTTTGTTATTAGCAAATAACTCCTATAGGTATTTATCCTATAAAAATTATAATTTATCGATTTTAAATTAATTGGAATGCAAGTAAAGTTAATACTATGCTAAAACGCTTACGTCAGTACATAAATAATTCGTTTTTTTTTAAATTATTAATTTTTACGTTTTAATTATTTATTTCAATCATTTTCAACTATATAATTATATTTCTGTTAATGATTTATTATGAAAAGCACATATTAGAAAACTCGAAGCAATAAACCGATTATGAATAATGAGAAATGCGCTAATTCCGGAAAGTAAACAAAAAAACGCAAATAAAAAAAAAGAGAATAAACAAAAATATGAGCTTGTGACATCAAATAATTTCAATTGATGATAAATTACAAATATGATGTAAGTGAAAATCGATGATTTTATCGAAGCAAAATTAAAGTATTTTTTGATAACGTTTGTAATCGATATATAGAGTAGATTTGTAAAATCGAAAATTTTTCTTTTGCTAAGTAAAAAATAACCGTACATCTAGAATTAAAGCAGCATTGTAGTTTTGTTTTTTATCAAGCTGGTCAAGATAGACTGAGATAAAAGACATTAAAAATTGATTTTGATTACCTGACCATTAATACAGCCACCTACAATGATAGTAGCATCGAGAGGACAGACGGCAACGGAGGTCACTTCTCTTGGACATTCAAGAATTAGTTTAGGCGATAAACTATCAGTGAAGGACCATATTAGTACGTGATTTTTACCGTTACTGGCTAAAAATACCTATTTACAGAAAAAATGCTCGATAGATATTTACTTATTATACATCTTTCGGTTTTGAAATAAATCATAAAAAATATTATGAAAGAATTTTCTCCAAAATTATTAAAGGTAATAAAGACATTTTTTTGTAATTTTTTTGCGATTTGTTGGACAGTTTTAAATGATAAATAGGATATCACCGCTGATTCCTCCAAAGAGGGGGAAAAAGGAGATGGTATACCTATTTTTAATAATAAAGTTTTTTAAGAATAATTTAGATAAATTTTATGAATAAACTAAATACACGGATATAATTTTTAAAAATAATTTATAATATTAAACCTCGTCGTAAGTTTTGGGGCCTATTAAATGCTCGCCCTTCGCATGTTGCGTGTAAGTAGCTATCGCTGTTCCGGTCCAGAATGGATGCCAGCAAAGATCATTAATAACTTTGTCTACAATAATCTTCCTGTAATAGCTCTGATGTTCTTCGTAACCTATTGGCACTGGTGCTTGCGTATCTTTCGCGTTGCGCACTAAATTTTCATAATCGTTCGTATATATATCCCATACGGAGTTCATTAAAACCTAGATATAATAAACAGTAGAAAAAATTAAAAATAACTTCTTATCTATATCAAATTTGAATTATTGAATTTGAAAAATATAAAATAATTTTATAACCAGAAAAGTAATTGTAGCAAAAGAAATATTGTACAAGATATATAAAAGAGATATTTTTCGATCAGATTTTGATACCTAATAATTACTTTTTGAATTTATATTCTTTATAATATACTACTCAACAATTACTTGATCGCAAATTTTATTGGTGTAACGTTTCAGAAAGTCCTTTAAGGACCTTATCCTTTCCCTGGTGTAAGTAGACAAATCGTCTGTCTCGTATTCGTACAGATATTGGTAGCCGGAATTGACAGGTATCGATGGCGCCGTTTGCGCCTCGTTGTGTTGAACGATCGGCGTCACTTGCGTATACCTGCTTACCAATTTACGCCATACATTCTCAAATATTTGTTGGCTCGACGGTAACAGCTCGATGTATCCGTTCGTCTGATCATCCGCCTTTCTATCCGTTAGATTTATAGGCGCGTTCAGTAAATCAGCGGTAGACGTAACCTGGTTGTAATTAAATACAAAAGATATGATCAGCCGATGCATCATCTATATATATGAGTAATAATAAATATTATTTATATATGAGTAATAATAAATCTTACATATGATCCATCTCATAAAAGTATGATTAAACAATTGCGAGATTTATAAACTGCTTCTTGCTTAATTGAAATTAGAATAAAGTGTGTGATTATAAATAAATAATTTATTGCAATTTGTTGATAACGTTGCGACATTATTGTCGATTCGATGAGACTAGTATTTATAGATACAGATTATAGAGCAGGATTAGTCAAAATTTACGATAATCGTTTTAATACCGCGGCTTGAAATTAATGAACGTAAACTATCAATATCCATGCTCGCATCCGCGTGAGTTACGCATTGAGTTGTATTAAATACTGTCAAAACGTAATAGACATTTTCAAAAATTTTCAGATTTTACGTTGCGATACAAATTAATTGAATTTAGCAAATTCTAGCAGGCAAGTTTCAATAAGTCAAAAATTATGTAAAAAGAATATTTTCACTCTTTTTAACAGTTAAAGAAGACATTTCGTAACACTATATGTACATGATTTTTTATTATTTTTTTATATATATATATATATATATATTAAAAAAAGTTATATATATATATATATATTATAGTATATATATATATTAAAAAAAGTAATATAAAAGTTTTTAATTATATATATATATATATATATATATATATATGATTACATATAATTTTATACACTCATATATGCATTTGTATATCATATGTATAACTTTATATGAGCGATTTTTTCCTCGGATAAAGTATGATCTTTTTATGTTATCAAATGTAATTACTTAATATATAAAATTAAAATTATAATTTTTTAAATCGATTCTATGATTTTAATGTTTTGCGAACCTCAATTTCGAATAATGGCCTTGTGTTTTTGACAATATTGTCATCGATCTCGGCACCACTTCCCAAATCGTACCATTGCCCAAGAATTTTGTAGATCGTACTTTTCACGCGGTCCGCGTACTCCTCCCATTGCATCTTTATATATTTCTCTACGATATCTCTACCCTGTTCAGTGAGGACAATGTAGAATTGTCCCTTTTCGGACAAAGACGGTGCATAGCCGATGAGAATCTTTTCGTCAGGAAATGCATGAATCTCGTCCTTTACCGGCAGAAAGTCGCTACTTTCAGAATGTAAATCTATATTATCTTCTATAACTTCCTTCTTAACGTGAACCCATGGATATTCCGTGGTGACATCTTTACCGACAATGCAGCCGACTATCTTTTGTGTCAGTGGCGAGAGATCGATTCTTATAATTCCCGGCACTCCCTAAGATTAAATTGATTTAGTACACGCTAATATGTATGTTTTTATTTTCTTTTATATATAGACATAAAAAGATGTATTTTTTATTGAAATATTATAAAGATGTAAAAAATAAAAATACATTCAGTATAAGTTAAATATTGATATGTTAGACGCATTAAATGCTTTAAAATCTTGTGTGATAAAACAATTCAATAATTTGAAATTTTGAAAATAGAATAAATCGTTGGCATGCTGAAATATTCACCAATGACACGGAATATCGAATTTTCTTTCGTGGCTCCGCGGTTATCATGTCAAATTTCAAAATATCATTCGCTAACGGCCCAGAAGGGGCGTAAGAGGGAAGATCATGGATAGTTTGTCGTCTTCTCGTTTGTCTTTCCGTTGACATATCATCTATCTCTTTTATTTCGAATGTTATAGAAATTTTCTTCTTCGCCTCTTTCTCCCAATCTAGTGTAGCTGATAAAATAGTGAAACATAGAAAATCTAGTAATTATATATAGTAATAGTTTTAGAAAATAAAGAATTTATATTAAATGTAATGAATTCTAATTTCTGAGTAATACAATTTATTAAAAGAATTAATTATATTGTGATAGTGAAATGTATATTAAGAACTTTCTGATTAATAGATTCTAAAATGGTAAATTAATTAAAATAATAAAGGTATCCAGTCAGTTTATTTTAACAGGTTCTTTAAATACATTAATCGACGATATTTATCAGATTCGCATGATTCACATTTAAATAAATCAGAAGCAATATCTTCCATTATTTCTGCCAACTCGCTACTTTAAATTACATCATTCATATTTGAACATATTTATGGTCGATTAAGTTTATGTTTCATTGTTAACTTAGTGCGTACTTCCCCCATGTGTATCTGATACGCATTATCGCTCTTTGTTTGTTGATATATAATTTTAACTCATTTGTTACAAAGTTTCAATATTCACACTACAACATTATCGGCGGTGCTCCTTTGATTGTCGCACATTGTATTTTTTAATAACATATTCTCATTAAAAATTATTTGTTTGATAAAACGGAAACGTTAATTACATATAAGCTTGAAAAAATATATTACACAGCACTTTAAATTTTTTATATTTAGTTTTAATTTGTTATATTTAGTTTAACTTTGATTTTTCTCTTGGCAGAAAGACCAAATCAAGAGAGATATCAAAGATGCAAAATACATTAAGATATCATTTAATATAGGTCTAAGAGTATATGCGTATACACACATACATTATTAATATGAAATATATCTTGAAGTATTCGTCAGTTACCACCATGTTAAATTTTCAGAAATTATAACCTACGCGGTATTTCTTCCTCTTCCCATTCCGTTTCCTCGTAAAGTTCCTCTTCTTTCGAGTTCGGAGGTTGTTCCACTTTAAAAAAATTATCATTATATCTGTATTCTCGCTCGGTACCGATTTCTGAAAACTTTTCACTATCCGACATTCTTTCCGCATTTGCCTCGCGTACTTCCTCCTCCATGATGTAAACTATTCGCTCGATTATTTTACGTTTCTAGGACTCCGCTCCGTTGATGCGATCGACGTGACGTGCAAAGATATAACCACGTTCGTGTTCGTGTTCGTAGATACACGTAGATACATGTAATGCGCGTATGAATCGATACAACGTGCCGTGAATGTAACCCGGATGTGATACGAAATGGAAGACAGAAGAAATCTTCACGTCCGATCGGCGAAACGAGCGAATTAGTTCGCGACCGGTCGCCGGTGTAAAACATTTTTTAATTCGGATTGTGTGACACACCGAGTAATGGCGGCCTGACGATGGCACGTCGAAGACTTAATGAAATTTTAAGTCGGGTACATTTGCAGTTTGATTGAACATTGAAATCTCGGGTTTCATCATTGGAATCCCGTCTGTCCTGAAGCGTGAAGTGGACGTTTCAGAATATCAATTTTTTCCCCCGAAATTTTTACGTGCGAACGCAAGCAACGAGTGCGATTTAATTGTTTTTACATCAAGCGAATGAAACGGGTCGCCCATGCACTTAACCCCATTTCGCAAACTCGATATACCACAGGTATTGTCAGCGTTAACAGCATTTTATAACTCAATAAGTAATTTAATTGTGGAAACGACCAATTTGTCGTTTAAATACGATATATCACTAATTGATGTAGATTAAATGACAGATTTAGAAATATTATTAAAAAAAATTCATCAATACAATAACAAATGATATAAAGCATTAAGAAAAGAGAGTATAATTTATAATTATTTTTTTTAGGCAAATAATTATTTTTTTGCTATGAATATTTTTCAAATGCATGGTTTTTACACGAATATAAATTGCCATGAGAAAATTTTCTTTATTTGAATAAAAATAATGCAATTGCAACGTTGGAACTGGCATGCATAATATTCGCTGGTTGTAATTAAAAGGTTTCCATCGGCCATTGAATTACAATTACGTTCAACAGTACAAAATATTATTTGTGTTTGTTGGAGCAAACTTTTATTCGACAAATACAATAATTTACTGCAATAATATGAACGCCACCTAATGCCATTAACACGATCTCAGATAATAAAATATAGGAACATTGTCATATAAATAACTGAAAACACTGTAATTAGCATTAATTTATAATTTATGTAATGTCTTTATTGAAGTAACTTCGTTTCTCGTATTGTATTAATAAACCGGTTCTACGTGTTTACATAAAATGTATATGTTATTTATGCATTTGGGGGAAATGTATACGAGGGGAGTCGAATGTGCATTATGCAAATTCGAGAGATGTTAAATTTTATGGTTAAATTCTTTAGTTTTCAGCTAAAATTGTAGCTCATCATTTACAATATAGTAGCGAGATAAACTTACGTTATACTTTATACATACTTTGCATACATCCCAACTTCCTACGACGTTACGGTGTTACGGTTTGTATAGGCAAAGATCGAGATTCTCTAACACGTTAAATACGAGGCAAATATTTATCCAAGATTATGGCGACACACAGATGACTACTTCATTCTGCATGCAATGTAGAATATTTTCGCCGCGTGTACATGTATTTATATGTATATATACGCATATTCGAATAGACTGTACGGTTTGCGCTCTAATTGTCAGTGAAATTTATGACTTTCACGAATGTGCGCGAATTGGTTCCAAACAATGCGTTCGCTTGTCAAATATTCGACAAATTCAAATGCGTTGCATTTATGTGTCATGGATTTAACTGTATTGTCACACACAATTAGAACATTGTCACGCCGACATGCATTATCGTGATGCATCCGCATGATGGTGCCTCGGACCCTTATCCGACTTTGCGCATATTTATTTATTTGGAAATAAATAAATAGAAACAAGAAGGAATCAACATGTAGAAAAAGATTATGTAAGAATCAAAGTAAATATATTAAATAACCGAAATAAATGTGCACTCTGATAGCCGATTGTAGCAATCAAAATATCTCATTTATCAAAAGACCTCATTTAAGCTTAAAATATGTTATTTAAGATGTATTCAAGTACCTTACTTCATGCATATATAACATTATTCTACTTTTGATTTTTAAGTACTTAGCCATAACGTTCAACCATTAGAAGCGTAATAAATATCATTTTTACGATTTAGTATTGCATTTTCAATTCCTTTTGGTGTGCGCGCCTTGCCGTGCACCTTTTCTGAAAAATGTATCTTATATCTACTGCATGTCGGTAAATCATAAAAAAATATGCCAGTCACGTCTTTTTAAAAAAGTGTTCTGTTAACGCAGACAGAATTCCGCACGGAAACTGATATTGCGTAACTCGCTGCTAACAATTTCGCGATTTTTTTATATTTGAGATATCCTTTATATCTCTTATGCACCATAAAACGCGTGTATTACATCCGTAAGACGGATTCAATTCCACAGAAAATGGAAACTCTGACCGCTCTGGCTCTGCTATCTTGCGTCGTTGCGCGACGTCAAAATGACGCTAGCGCGAATCTGTATCAATCGAGGTATCTGTAACTAAAACATTTTTGATCAAATTATTACGATAACTATTTTCGCGGGCGCGCACACGTGACTGCGTGTTTTGTATGCGCTTCGACGATCGTTATTTTCAGCGTTTGAATGGAGAGCCGGTAATCGGCAATTCGCACACCCGTTGGAAAAATAGATTCCGGCGTTTAGACAATTTAGCTTCGCGGCCGAGCCGTACGGCGATTAATCAATTGCAAATATATACCGCACATAGATTGGAAATACACGCTGCCTATTTCCTGTTTAATCGAATCAAATTGAGATGGTATTTTCCCTGTGTCCGGTCTCCCCATTTATCGCACCGAAATGTCGAGTGGTGCTTTCCTCTTCGCCCAGCGTAGAACGTAAACGAAACCCAACGTAAACCCAAAATACGCTCACTGACGATTGATCGATCAAAGGGAAAACCGCAGGAAGTCCTCGCTATTTTTGAGAGGAAGAAGAGAAGTAGAAAAATAGCAGGTAAAATAAATTCTAAGATTTATTGTCCTCCCGACGTGCACCAGCTAATACGTACTAAATTTTTGCAAAATATAATTCCGACGTTATATAAATATAATTTTCTCTCATAAAAATATAGTAGAAATATCTGGTAATTTTCAAATTATATCGTGGCTATTTCCTGTTCTGTATAAATATTTTCTGCATCTATCTTTGTACAAAGATCTCTCATTTTTATTTTTATCACATCTCTCCGTCGTTAAATTTCTCACTCATAACACCACGGAAAGCTGAAGATAATTTATTTATGGCGAACGGCGCAAGAAGAAGGGAAAGGAAGGAAAGAGAGAAAGAGAGAGAGAGAGAGAGAGAGAGAGACGAGTGTAGCGTGGGACTTTAAGTGGCACTTTCTTCCGCGGAGATGCAAAAGATGTTCCGTTGTGAACGGATGTTAAAACACCCGGAGTTTCTACAAGAGCGCGCGGCGTTTACTGCCGCGTTTATTTCGAAAATTTAGACTAGAGCACTTTTTTAAGTCCCACCGGACGGAACTTTTACGTTGCTTTTGTAGTAGTCGGCATGCCGAACACTTTATCGTTCTAGCTTTTATTCGGCGCATTCGCTCGTTCGCGCGAATTCGGAGTTCCCTATGGATACGGAGAATCGCCGGGACAAACGCGTACAAGCGGCGCGGAGCATTGAAAATATTGGGTTGTTTTTAACGCCACCGTTCATCCCGGTGACATGAATTTTTACGACGATCTGACAGCTGTGAGATTTTCATGGGAAAGCTCGTCTCTCGTCGAGCCCAGTAGAAAATTATTTCTGAAAATTAGATTTATGTTGTGACCGGAATTTTTGGAAAAAGCACTGCTCCAGTCCATAAATATAATATAAATATTTCTGATGAGAACTTTAACAGGATATTACTTACTCTGTTTATTTCGAGACACTTAAGGAATCAATTTTTAGCCTAAAGAAAGGTGCTCTTTTTGCCTAAAGATATAAATCATAAGTAAAAAGTTTATATAGGCAAATTTTAAACAGATACAAGTAATAAATATTTTAATATTTAAATAAATATTTAAATATTTTATACAACATTTTTCTTTATAATTCATATAGTGTGAAATCACAAATTTTCAATGCGTTAATTACGTAATTTTTTGATCATGTATTACACGTTCCGTCAGTAAGTCAATACGTGTTTTTATTTTGTTTATTTATTTCGATGATGTCAAAGGTTTTTCGAAATCATTCCTTTTCCGATGCAAAAGCAGATAAATCGCGGCGTCGTCGCGAAATACTTCTGAAATTTTCATTCGAAGCGCTTTGAATGTCTGACGCGAAGCGACGAATTTAAAATATAGTGCAGCAACTGACATGTACCAAATAGATGACTGATTTAATTTCGCGTGCGCCGGCATTTAGTGTAATAGTAAGCCAGTTGCACTCTATTTTCATTTTCATTATGAATAATACCAAAGTAATTATACATAAATAATCGCTTATTATGTTGCAATTTGCACAACGTTTTTTTTGGTAAAACTGTAACGGCAACGATGACGCTTGATCGAGGGTTTGTTTTGTAGAGATTTTGTCTCAAATGTGAAAAATATCCGATTATTATGAATACTTATCTCTCTCTCTCTCATCGATATAGAATTAACAATAAGAAATAATATTATAATCCCTTCGAATTGAACATTAATTAGTATTTTTGTATAGAAATAAAATAATTCTCACACGTACAAAACGAATCGATATTAGACTGGTTTTAAATTATCTACTTATTCTGTGTTGTGGATATACATTACTCGTTATCCACTTTTTACATGTAAAGAATTTTGGAAGACGTACATAACAACGACAACGGAGTCGGAGCGTATTTTGAAAACCTTGTCGCATTCGAATCGCGTGGCCGGAATAAGACCGGTGTGCATTTTACAGAGGAAAATGTGTGCGATATAATCCTGAAAGTTGGATGCACGACGAGACGATACGATGCAAAAGTAGCGCGACATGGTGTAGCG